ATGGTGACCGTGACCCAGTGCTTCGTCCAGGGCCCTTCAAGAAGCTCCGCCCGTCTTCCCCCAGATGCTCCACGTGAACAATCATGACTCTCAAGGTTGAGTGCACACGACACCTCACGATGAGAGGACTCTCAAGACAAAACTCACAACCTCACGGTAAGAAGTGATGAAGAGGGTAGGTAAGGTTAAGAGCAACGTACCTCGTTCATGCTGCCCCCAACCACAGAGATAGTCTCACCAGATGACCTGAAGATGATTGTGACGACCAGTCACAGCATCGGCACAACCAGCATTTCGCCGTTCCACCTCAGCCTCAATCACCCAACAGATAGTTCTCATCACACTGCGAACACCCAATATTTACACCTTAGCCTTCCAGGCGATGCCCCTCACCACCTGGGTCGCCTTCACACTCGTCTCCACCCTCCTCACTACACACCACTTACAGCCAAACTCGCCCAGTAGACGGCATGTATGTACCGCATAAGGTAGAAGACAAGCGCCAGATGAGCGCAATCGTACCACGGCTCCGATACCAAATTGCAAGGAAGATGAGTGATAGCGAACTCCAACAATCAAACAGCATCATACATATGAGTCCAGATAGTCTTGATCTCGAACCAAACGCAGAATTGCATCACTGCATATATGCTCATCCTACATTGGTTGATCTTTGGTTCTGCCCATACTCATTGAAGTATGTAACAGTTTTGGTATCGGAGCAGACCATATTACGGATCTGCTCACAAAGGTAAGTATGATTAGGAATTAGATTGTTCTTCAATCTTCCAAATCAGCTCCGTATTACTATTGAGTTCAAAGTTGCAAAATTTTTCTCCTTTTTTTCGGTATTATGTTATTTCGGCATTTCCGTTTCAATTCGGTATTCGGACTTATCATTCGGATTTCCGTTTTACTCTGGTAGGCTGTTTATTAGGATCCGACAAATTGATACTAATCCAACATTCTGTTCGATTCGGATTTCTAGTTAGTAATTCGTAACTAGGGTTAAATCAGTTTTCCATTGATTTCGGCATTCTGATTTCTTTCGGTATTCCGTTTTTATTTCGGCATTCTGATTTTAATCTTGTATTTCGTGTCGAAATCGGCATTTCCGTTTTATTGCAGTATGGGGAATTAGGGTTACAAAAATTTTTGGCTTTCACTCAACTTCGGAAATTCGAACGTTTTGGGAACCGTAAATCCGAAAATTCCGCCGAAACGCGGAAAATTAGGGTTGGGCCCGAAATTTTCGCGAATTTTTTTTTCTTTCCTTTGTTTTGAGAAATTCCGAAAACGGGTTTAGGCCGTTAAAAATCGGATTTTGACGGTGGAAATTCCCAAAAATCCACGTTTTCGAAAATTCGAGTGTTTTTCTCCGGATTCTTCCGAAAATTTTTGGCAAATTAATCCGAATCTAACCCTCAGATTGCAACTTCCGGGTAGTTCACTAAATAACGGTGAACTCCCGGACCATAATTGATATCAAAAGAGACCTAATCTTAATACAATTCAAATTCGTTCATTATCATTATTACAAATATTGTTTATTGATTATCATCAAGAAATCTTTAGCGCAAACATTGTTTAGTGATTATCATTAAGGGATTTTATTGCGTATTAATCATTAATTAATTTTATTGATTAAATAATTCGTTATTATTTCTTCTTATTATGAATTTTTGGAATTGTTTACGGGAAATTACTTTTCTGTTTTGATTAGGTGTCTACAGTCCATCAGTGGGACAGGGGACTGTATGCGTATTGTCTGATTGTTCTACCCCTGTTCCCACTCTTCCTACCTCCCCGTACTCTGTGACCACCGGGACCTCTCAAGTACCGCATCAGTTCACACTGATGTCGATGGAACAGGACACCGGGGCACTGCCACGACGCAGTGCCAGGCTTGCAGTTCGTGCCCGACCTGTGGTACCTCCAAGACCCAAGCGGCGACTCAGCAAGCGGAAGACTCCAACAGAATCAAGTACAGCAATGACAGTACCGGTTAGCACCGGGGTTCTTCCCGCATGCCCGGTCCAAGGGGTCAATGAGCCGGTGGCAGCTTACTTTCAGCGGGTACAGGTATTCATTGATACCGGCTGCCGTCAAGGCTCAGCAGGAGGCAGCAGAGGCAGAACGTCAGCGGCTGGCCAATGAGGCGGCAGCCCAAGCTCAGCAGACTGCTGAGGCTGACGCAGCGGCACGAGACCAACGGAACGCCGCCAACACGGAGTCCCTGATTCAAAGTGAGAGTCAGCGGACAACGTTCCTCCAAGGCATGATCTTTGTGCCTTCGAACGCGCAGGCAAATCCGACACCAGCGGAGGCAGAGAGGACTCACCTGGCTTACTTGATGCTGGGCATGATGAGAGGAATCATGTGGAATAACACACTGCTGCAGGCACATCTGCACACGGAACGACAGCAAAGGCAAAAGTACCAGCAAGACATTGCTGTTTTAACAGCTGCCATCCGTGCCGAAGCAACACAGCAGCAGCAACAGCATCAGCTGTTGAACTCCGCTCTCGCACGCATCAACAGCATTGAGGCTAACGCCTCAGCAGTGCCAGGCTGCACGACAGACGCGACAAGCAACTCAATGAGCGCATCGATCACGTCGTCACCATCATTGGCGAACTAGGTGATTTCACCAGTCCGGCCACGATCAGCAGCACGGTGGCCGCTATCAAGACGGACATCACCAAGTTGCAGACGAGACCGGACGCCGCTACGAAGACTTACAAGATGCCGCACTTCGACATCAGCAAGTTCGACGACTACAACAAGTCGGACGCCTTGACATGGTGGCAACGTTTCCTCACGGAAGCATCATGCCGCACTTTCCCGACGGACGACATGATGAAGGCGCTCTACTTGCAACTGATTGTAGGAGCGCAGGCATGGATGAACCATCTGGCGGCTACCAACAAATGCACCATCGCCGAACTACACACGCACATCACGTGGAAAGAGTTCGAGAAGCTATGGCTCACCCGGTTCATGGTTCGCAACGTCGTGAAGGCAGCCATGAACGAGGTGTACACCTGCTCTCAAGGTAATATGCCAACTCGAGACTGGACAACTAAGTGGCAGAACATAGTGACCACGCCAGGCTTCGATTTGAGTTTTACCAATCAACGATCCGAGTTCTTCTCGCGATCGTGCGCAGGACTGCTATCGGCACTCGGCAACGAGTACGATTATGATTCATTCCAGGCCATTCTGGATCGGGCGAACTTAGTCATCCAAACGGATGACAAGGCCGCAAACGAACGACAGTCCCAGCCGCATTATGTGGCTAAGCAGGGCTATCAACGTCCGGCACATAACAATGTCGTGTTTTCTGAAGAAACAGACGATCTCCACGCTGCAGCAGCATCCTCGAGTGATGGAGGAATTGTAGCAGCGCTCCCGCCGAAGCGTCCCAAGAGAGTT